GTTTTATACGGTATGAACAATACCATGAACAATTAAAAAATTTCGAATATAAATTGTAAATCGATGCACTGTTACAGTGCATCGATGCACTGCTACAGTACTGTTACAGTAACTTTCGTAAAACGTACATAAAACTCGTAAAAATTTAACCGTTCATTACTATACACTTACCATTTGCATTTATACGTTTAAAACATTACAAAAGTCGATCAGAGCATATATGCTAAACGACTCTATTTACATGCCAACACATATATCACATAAACAGACATACTTTGTAAGGTTCTTCTGATCTAATCTTCAAATGATGATATGCTGCCTTGTTGCTCTTAAGATCGATCTTCATGTTTTTCTGTACCTACGTGTAAATCACTTACACGCTAAGTCATAGATTTAGTGAGGCATATAAATATAATAATTATGCATTCCTTATGAATACGAACATGTAATATATCCATTCAATCATGTCACATGTAATTCAATGTAAACGATAATAAAATGGTAACATATAACAATAATAATGCAATTACATTTGATAACATTTTATAAGCCCATGTACATTACTGAGAACTCAAGGTATTCGAGTATATTGAGGTTGTGCACTATTGCTGTCACCACAGCTAGTATAAGTCCCATTGAGTGGCATATGAAATTTTGTCCCAAAGGACTTGTGAATATGTCCCGAAGGACCTATGAGTTGTCCCGAAGGACCTATGAAACCCTCTACTCTTGGCACGCCAACTATACCTATAGCTCTCATATCATATACCATGGGCATTATTCTTATGTTTCATATGTTCATGTACTCATGTTATTTCTCTTGTGATCACATAGCTCATATCACTTATCATATCACATGTGCATTTGAATCTATTCACATACTTCATTTATCAAATCATATGAACATATATACCTTATGCATGTATCATAATAATTATCATGTATGCATGTTCATAACTATTGTACTATAAAAATCAACATAGGAATTAGACTTATCACAAGTCTTATTCCATTGTACTATACTTATAATATGCACTCACCTTGGCCTTGCTTGCATTGATTCAATCCTAATTCTTCAATTGTTCTATAACTCGTTTAGGCTCGATATCTACATAACATAAATTTCGAGATGATTTTCAAAATCCTAAACCTTATAACTTGGTATTAATAACTTAGGATAATTTAATGAACCAAAAATTCACTTTTCCTTTAGGAGTGTACCGAGGCACTATGGGTGCATCGGTACCCAAAATAGCTTCAAAATTTCCATACATCGATACACCCCTTAATGCATCGATGTACCTTCAAAATTGTCTTAGTGCATCGGTACTCATTCATAGTGTATCGATGCACTTGTCCAATCAATTATTCACCCAAAATTTCATGTATAAATCCTTATTATACTACTAAACTCATCTATAATAACTTTAACTAATTTCTATCATTCCAACACTTTATTATCTTCCATATCTCATTCAAATTCTTAAAACTAAGAATAATACCAAAATTTAAATGTAATCCAAACTTATTTATAACACTTATAACTTCTTATTTTCATAGATGACAAGTCAAATTCAATCCTCAAATTTATTTACACATTCATATTCAGATTTTCACTTAGACACTTCTTATCTTTAATCCTCCATAACTCAAAACTCTTTGAGTTTCTAAGTCTTTTTTCCTTCCATCATGCTTTCTAAGTCTTCCTTAACCAAAACCATACTTCAATTTTAAAGATTAACCAAAAGAAATCAAACTCACCTTGGGCTTGGGTGCTTCACGTTTGGGAGAAGAAAAAGATGAAGAAAGAAGGAAGAAGAAATGAGAGAAATCTGGAAATATTTGTTTCCCACATATGCCCCACGTGGGTTATAAGATAACCCAATTAATATTTTATTCATCCACTTGTTCAATGACCCTTTTACTCTTCCTTCATTTGCTAATTAATCCTACACCAACATCTTTCACTTAATTCCTTCACTTTTCAATTTATTTAATTTGGTCATTGAATTTTAAAAAAATCTTACACTTTAATCACTAACCCAATATTGAGGATGTCACAATCATATTTTTTTCATTTCATGAAAATTCGAAGCACTTCATCTTTAGACTTCATCGGATACACCCAAACTCTTCTGGAAAAGTCATCTACAAAAGTTACAAAATAATGGTTTTCTCCCAAAGACGATGACTTTGAAGGACCCCATACATCTGAGTGAATATAATCCACAATACCTTTTGTATTATGTATAGTGGTGCCAAACTTCACTCTCTTCAGTATGTCCCAACCGCATATGCCACAATTGGGCTGCGTCCAAATCATCACCTCCGGAAGCTGCTGCAACTGCTCCAATAATTATACTACCTTGGTAGTAATACAAATTATTTTTCCTGATGCCCTTCATCATCACAAGTGCACCATATGTGACTTTTAAAACTCCATCTCTCATAGTGACTACTGAGCTTTTGGATTCCAAGGCTCCCAACGAGATGAGATTTTTCTTCAAACTGGGCACGTATCAGACATCCGTTAGAACTCTGGTTGATCCATCTTGATTCTTCAATCGAATTGAACCTATCCCAACAGTTTTACATGCATTGTCATTGCCCTTATAAATAACTCTGTATTTAGTTCTAATAAATCGGAGAACCACTCCCGATTAGGGGACATATGATAGGTGCAACCGAATCTAATATATATTCATATGAATGGAATGTTGTTGATGAAGCAACCAATGATATGTCAGAGTCATTTGCATCATGCTCTGCAACACATGCATCTGGAGCATCTTTTCTTTCTTCTGTCGGACAATCTTTCTTCCAATAGTATTTCTCATGACAAAAGGCACATTCATCTTTTCCCAGTCTTGACTTCGACTTTGATCTCCCTCTCCACTTTAGCTTTTGACTTTTCGAGCGACCTCTTGCCACCATGGCCTTCGCTGCTTAGTACTTGCTCTCCTTCTTGGTTTTCTTCCTGAGCTCATAATTATACAAAACAGCAGTTACATCTTTAAGGGTAACATTATCCTTACCATGAAGTAACGTTGTCTCAAGGTGCTCAAATTCATCTGGAAGAGATGACAACAACATCAAGGCTAAATCTTCATCTTTGAAAGTTTCATCCATGCCCAATAAGTCTGCCACTAGCTCATTGAATGCAGTGATGTGTTCATTCATACTGGTGCCTGGTTGATAATCAAATATGAACAATTTTTTCTTCATGTGGAGACGATTTTAAGAGCTTTTCTTTAGGAATTTTTCCTCCAATTTTTTTCACATCTTACTTGGAGAAGACTCGTTCTTGTAGCCATACTTCTGCTCCCTGGAAAGACAAGATCGAATCGTGTTGCACGTCAAACGATTGATTATTCCCCATTCTTTCTCCTCCATATATTCGGGTTTTTCTTCCTCAATGGCGATGTCTAGACCTTGTTGGAATAAAGCGTCTAACACCTCGCCTTGCCACATGCCAAAATGACCAGATACATCGAACAACTCCACCGAGAAATTTGCATTTAACATCACCCTCCTCACCAGTCCAGATGAAGAGCTTGATGTCTCAACTGATCCATATTTTGACATTTTAATTCTAACGAACAATATTCAATATCACAAACTGTATCTTTTCAGCAACGGAACCACCAGGATAACCTCAACCGAAGGTCTGATGCCAATAGTTGGGGAAACCGGGTTATTTCTCACATGAACGTAGTTTCAAAATTGACCTAAAATATCAATATCAAAACCACCAAAGGTTGCACAGCAGATAAACCTATCAAACTATTGAATATTGAAACACAATGAAAAAATCGAATAAAAAACAATAAAGGAGAGAACACACCAAATGTACGAGGTTCGACGAGAATATCGTCTTCTCCTCGGACACCACACCGGATGATAACTTCACTATCAACAAATATTACAACAAATTGAATTCTTTAGAATTCCCAAAGTGAGAGAATGAAGAAAACAAGAGGAAGAAAACTTGTTTTTGGGATGATTTCTAATGGAAATACTTAGGCTTATTTATAGTTGAGTTTTAAGGACTAAACTTATAAATAACCTAATATTTTAGGGATCAAATATGAAAAATAAGTTGGCCACCTACCAAAGAATTTTTTAATGAGTTAGCCACCAACCAAGATGAAATTTTCAACTTGCCAAACTTAATTTCAAACCAAACATAACACTTAAGACAGTAAATATTTTCTATACTACACAATTATCTTCGTATATAGTATTAAAAAGATCTTACTTTAAACATTCATCAATATAGACGCGATTGATCATGAATCAAAGTATAAAACTCAACATATAATAAAATACCAAATGAAATTCTTATTCTAATCATATTTTGTATATTTATTTTCGTAATAAATACCAGTGATATCATCAAACATGCTTTGTTTTAACTTACAGATCAAATGCACACGCTTCACTGCAGAAAAAAATCCAAAGTAATAATTAGAATCCGTAACATAAAATCACAATTACATGGCCAAAATAATTATGAAAAATGGTGTGCTCAAGAATAGAATTTAAAAGAAAAACAGACAAGAAGAAGAAATGCAAAAGGAGGAAGAGGAATAGAGAATGTCAAAGAATTTTCAAGCGCGTGATACACATTTAAACTTGGCAGACTTGAAAACACGTGTCGCTAGGGGAGTAAAAGGAAATTGGTTCATTTAATGTAGGATCAGCCGGTTGTCTTCTGTTGAAATTTCTTGGAGAGAATGGATGGTTTCTTGAAATTTAAAATACTCTTCTTCCTCACCTTAACAAACCAACAAACTAAAACCCTAGACTCACACTCTCTCTCACTCACTCACTCGGTCTTACTAATAAAATTTTGATTTCCAAAAACAAAACAGATCGCACTAGAGATGTAAAATGGATACAAATTAAGTTCAGCCGTCAGCTTCTTGCTTGATATTATTTATTTTGTTCCATGTAAACAGAAACTTCAAAAATCGGTATTTCAGAAAAGAAGTTGTCCAATGAGTATAGTTGATGATAATGGCGTTGCTGACTTCCCAGCAGATTTGAATATTCTCATAATTGATCAAGATAAAACATCTCTCCTAGTGTTGGAAACAATGCTTCGAAAGTTGTTATACCGAGGTATGTCTTTTTTGTTGATCACTCATCTTGTTAATTGCGAATTCATTACTGCTTGATTTGGATTGTTGTTCGATGTTTTGGGTTTTCAATTCAGAAACATGATGAGTTTAATCAATGATTAATCATGATTCTCAAAATTGTCTGTATTGTTTATTTCTTTTATATCCTTTTTCTGTTTATAAGTGTCAATCCTTTTGGTGAAGATCATAATTTTATATAAAAAAAACTCGTCTTGTTCCGACGATTTTATGACCCGATCGTAGTGATTTTCAGTTACCAAGTGTCAGCATGCGAGTGAGGCCATTGCTTTGCTTCGACGATGCAAAATCAGATATGATATTGTCATATGTGATTCACATTTGCCTGACATTGATGGACTCAACCTTATTGATATCATTGTATCAGAGATGGACTTGCCGGTCGTTAGTAAGTTCCTGAATACATGCAATTAATTTTAATAACTCTACGCTTTTTCAACTGAAGCCGGATATGTGTATATTTGCATCATCGTGTTATGTTTTACACAGCGATGTCTTCGGATGAAAGACCAAGAGTTGTTGTGAAGTATATAATCAAAGGAGCTTGTGATTATTTGGTGAAACCAGTTCGCATGGAAGCCATTAGTCTCATTTGGCAGCATGTGGTTCGCAAGAAGCAACGTTTGTTTCAAGAATCCCAGCACCCTGGCGTTGAAAACATTAACATTAATGTTACCGACAGGTTAAGCCTATTACAACTGTCTAAGGAAGCTGCTGCCGCTAATCGAACTGCCCCAAAAACCGATAAAAGAAACCTGCAATGTCAAAACGGAGGAGCGGATATGCGTCTAATGAAGGGGATTCCTCTGATGAAGCAACGACCGGGACGAATGGGAAGAAACCGAGGGTGGTTTGGACACAAGAGCTCCATGAGTTGTTTGTTACTGCTGTAAATCAACTTGGACCTGGCAGTATGAACTATTCTAGCACTATAGAGTTTCCTATAAAAAAAATGCTTTGTTTTTAATATCTGATCATGTTGTTGCAGATGATATTCCTAACAAAATTTTGGAGCGTATGCAAGCTATGAATATTACTTATCTTTCAAGGGCCAATATTGCCAGTCATCTTCAGGTGAAATTTATTAACATATTTTATATGCACTATTAAGGAATATATTTACTTTTTAAGTGAAAAATCTTGCAGAAATACCGCATGCATCTCAGGAAAGAAAGTGCACGATCGGCTAGTAACAGAGATCTCAATGCCTACCAAGAGTTCCAACCCACACCCACTGCTACATATCAACTTCCACAGCAAAATGTTGCGAATGCAAATGTTTTAAGTACAGTTCCGATTCATGTCAATAGAGAGAGAAATATATTTGACCCGAATCTTGTTCCGGAATCAAGTCGCTCTGTCCATACTGATGCCTCCTTGTACAATCTCTCTCAGTTGAACTTGTTATACCGTAATGATTTCCCTCCTGGTGATGGTGTTGCCATCTCAAATGATGAAAATTTTCACAGTAACGCAGGAAAAGTTACTGAACTTCCGAACCCGTTTTCGACAGCTCATGAGTTGATCTATGAACCCTCGTTTTTGGTATGTGAACTTCTTTCCTCCACCTTTAGTATAGGTTAGCTTAAAGTAGTCATTAATGTATGACTATTAGTCATTTTTTATGATTAAGAACCTGATTGAATCTGATAAAATAGTAGCTAAAAGTCACGGAATGAGTATGTTGACGATCCCTAAAATGGACTATGTAATGTATTTTATATCCCCTGGGTTACGGTTACGGTTACTGATTCAAAGTTTTTTACTTTATGTTATTTGCAGCAGCAGGAGGTTGCACTGGTTGGACTTCAATCGAACATGGCTGGATACCTCTCGTGCAGTTCTAATTGTTTTGGTTTGACCCAAAGTTAGATTAAATTTTTTTTTCATAGGTGCATTTTGTTGTTTCTTCAGCTTAACAAGAAGCTAGCTTAGCATAGGAATTGATTGAGTTTTCGAATTCGAACTTTTTACCGACTTTGGAAGCTCTGGACATCATGACTTCTTCTCAATGCTGCAATTTCATTTTTTTTTTTTTTGGAATATTATGGAATATTGCTTGCGAATTGGCATAATACTTATCTTCTCATTATACATTATACTGCAAACAAATGGATGAATAATTGAACATATGGAGTAGTGCAACTTAAAAACATTAGTTATAGAAGGAATTTGGAGCAATTAAAGGCAAGCAATCCAAAAGCTTATCAGTACTACATTAGCAATAGCAGAGCAAGTGTTAGAAAGCCAACAATGCTGCTTGCTGCACTGATCATGGGAGCTTTGCTAGGAAGTATAGTGGGAAGTGCACATTCCTCTCCGTTGAACAACACTTTGGTCGGAAACCCATCCCGGGTTGCCACTTGAATACCCGGTGTAGACTTCTTCTTGAATGAGATAACCGATTGTTGTGTTCCGGGAACACGGGGATCCTTTCTTGGATTGGAACCATCTGTTTCCGCTAGAAGATAATTCAATCCTGGACGGCCTTGCATGAATATTGTGTTGTTGGAGCCTTGCAGCACGCTTCCATTGAAGGTGTAGACTTCTTCGAAGCCTGGTACGGCGTTATCCAATTGAACGGCCGCGAACCAATCTTCAAATCTAGATTCACCCCAGTTAAATAAAGTGATCCTTGCACTCCAACCATCTTTGAAATCGGATAATACATGCCAGTTTATGCTAACTCCACAGTTATCTCCACACGGCAAGAGATTCGGAACTGTTCGTCGTTTTATATCAGCCCACTCCAAAGCTTCAGCAGTTCTGTTCTCGAAAGGTATAAGAAGAGTATCGGGTCGAAGAAGTAGAGCCGGCTCTGAAGCACTGCAGGTTTGGCTTGGGTTGCTGTTGCAGCCACAGGCACATGTATTGCATGGGATAGCAGAATCATTGAAAAACGCCGAGTACGAAACACAACATCTTGGAACTGCCTGCCTGGACTGTGTCATATTGCAGACTACTTGCCAACTAGCAATTGCTGCTGTTTCTGAAGGCAAACCACTAGGATCAGGGAATTGACTCGGGCTAACTCGCATCGGAGACCCGCATTCATAATCCGGATTCATAGTGCCATTGATCTTCCAATTCTGAGGTGGAGCTAGCTCTGTCCTATTTAAGTCTGGTGGCATTTTGTAAACTTGCATTTGGAAAGATGATCGAGACTTGCTCGGATCCATCAAAGGAGGCAGAATCGTCCCATTTCGACAGCAGAAGGGGATTCGTCCAAGATTGGAGTCATTCGCCATCGTCGGAGGTAGGTCGATAATGGTAGGCCTTCTTTGACAATTCAATACCTGAGAAAAATCCATGTCTTGATAGTACTGACCCTGCCTGCCAAAAACACAGTCCGTTGTATCAACAACATAAGGGTAAGCTCCTCTCATAGTGTAAATGAATTCTTCCCTCATCCAATCAAAGCTCAATTGCCAATTATCCAGGCGACTGAGAGGGTCATGGTTCGAGATCGAAACCTGTGCCCAGTAATTAACATCATACGCCCTAATCACATCATACATTATTATAAGATCACCATCTTGCCTGGGCAAGAATTCTTCATTTACCCCTCTGTTTGAGTTTGTATCTTGAATAACGCAGCATACGTGCATCACACGGTTCCCTAGTGAAAAAAAGAAGAACCAAAAAATCATCTCGTCAATGAATAGAATTGCAGATAGACATCCAAGTTTTAAATTCCAAAAACAAATTACATATCGGACATTAACAAAAGATATCAATGGAGTACACATTAAATTTTCTGATTTCGACACATACTACAAATAATGGACTTGTTTAGGGATGGCAATTTTATCCGTACTCGACAGTTCTAACCCGGTTGGCACCGTTTTTTATTTTGAAAATTTAAATTCGAGTCGAGTTGGGTTAGTTTCAAGTTTAGGAAGAAAAATTTGACCCAACGTAATATTATAATTTTTCTTTATATATTTAAATATAGTTGTTATAATGTCCCTTTTTGTTCTATTTTTTCAATTGGATCCTTATTTTACATAATAAAAATAATATATATATATATATATATATATATATATATATATATATATCGGGTCAAGTGCGGATGCTGATTTTAGTCAAACAAATCGGGTCAGATTTTGGGTCGAGTGTGACCTTCTTAAGCCTGTGTCGGGTCGAATGCAAGTGAAGGGCTTCAAATTTCCGGTCGACACAGCCGGACCCGTTTTCATCCTATACTCGTAAAAAAATATGAATTTCAAGAGCAAATTTGGTATTATCTGGTCAAAGTTGAAGTGGATTCATGCAATATGGACTTTTCAACTATTACGTAAAGCTACAAAATAATCATTTTCAACTATTAATTAAAAAACATCAAATTTTCCTCTATTTCTACTATTGAATTATAGACTGTGTGCCAAATTAGTGTTCAGAATCAAGAGATTAAGTTTATATAAAAAAAATACATAAAAAGAAAACAGAAAGAGAGAGAGAGAGATCAGACCTTGATTTGTGGCATTAACACAAGTATACCCATCATTAACAAGGCTAATATTAAGCGGCATGGGAACATCCGGAGCGCCGACACCGAACTGTGTACCCACCAACCCGACGCTAACCTCCATTTGCGACGTATCCCCGGCGGTCTCTACTGCCGATTTAAGGTCACTCATGGGGAACCCGGCGAAAACGGCACCGTTCCCGACCGCATCAGGGAGCGAATTCCCATCTGCCAAAACAGCGTTAGAAGCAGAGACCAAAAGTTCCCTGTGATTGAACCCCACGAACGCTCTCCAAGACTTGAGCTCGTGACGTCCGTTGTTTACAACTCTTAAAGTGGACTCGAAACGGTACGCTTGGTTGGTTGGGTCGGTGGGAGGGATGGCACGGCCTGAGTTGTAGGTGTACGATAAGAATACACCGTTGCATGAGTCGGAGGCCGGGGCTGGGGCTGGATCCGGCGGAGGGGCTTGGGATTGAGAAAATGAAGTGTTGAAGAGAGAAACAGAAAGCAAAACAAAGGGGATGATGATGACGGGATTGAGGTCGTGAACCACAGCCATGGTTGATATGGTTTTGAGAGAATTTTTTTGAAAGTGGAGAGGTTGGTTTGAATAAATGAGAAATGGGGTTTAAGAAAAGGAAACGGTGAATGGTTTGTGGAGAGCCGGCTATGTTTCATTTTCTACTTCACTGCAACTTGGCTGGCATAAGCAAAAGAGTTGAGAACTGGTCTTTCTTTAGCTTCTTCTTTTTAATTTCCTTTAGTTTTTTAGAGAGTTGGTTTTACTTGTTCAAATTAATAAAAATAAAAGGAGACCAAGTTTCATTGTTATGTAATGGAATTATAATTTTTTCAAATGCTGTAACTTAATTAATTTTGTTCAGATAAAACAAGGCCTGCTCCATCAATATAAAATAAATAATTCAACGGTAACAAACAAAAAACAAATTAAATCTCAATTTATACAAAGTCTTGTATTAACCCCTGCTTTTAATATTCTTCCCCCCAATCTTAGGAAAACTAAAGTTTTAATATTATATAGAAATTGATCCTATGTTCAATGAGTGTCTCAAAACAACTTTGCATCCCTTCCTTCCTCCAACTTGAAGTGCCTAATCAACCATTTGCCACTACAAGAAGACTTATCCAAATTATCATCTTCTTTTGCTCTTCATTCCAATGGGATATTTCGCTCTGTGCACCGCCTAGAACAAGTGTCGATCAGATGGGAAAGGCGGTCTCACAGAAATCAAAATATAAAATCTCTGCTAGCGGGAATGATGAGAATAGTTTGGATCTCCATCCCAAACACATTGGAAGGGGGAAGGAAAGTCTTTGAATATCAAACAGGAACACGAAGGCAAGTCAAACATCTGCAGTACCATCTAGGCCTCTTATTGTATCAGGATCAAACCACTATATTCATGGCAACCCAAAAGAATATTATGAGGAGATGAGGGAAGAGCCTGAAGAATGTCCATTTCAACAAACTAAATGGCTCAAGTGTCCATGTATGATGTCTTTTGCTTTAGGAGTTTTCACATATATTGATTTGAATAAAATATTCAATGGTCCATCGTAGATTATTACCTAAACTATATAGATATGTCTTATTAATCAGGTTAACCTTACGCAATGAAATTATTAAGTTAAAAGGTTTTAGGTTTGGAAAATTTTGGGGCAGTGAGGCATCGCTTAATATACGATAAGTTTTCAAACTGCATTGTTAGCTTGTTATGAACTCACTTGAATTACATAAAAGTTATAGATGACTTTTAAACTTGCTATGAACTCACTTGAATTACATAAAAGTTCCTTACCTACGTTCTTGGATACTGGCCCAATAATGTACATGGGTCTTCTTTGATTTGATGTACTCAAAGTCTCCATTTACCCCGAGTAACTAACTGCCTTACACGACTGAGAAGAAGGGTTTTGCATTATCAAATTAACATTTGATACAACAGTGAAATAAATAAATAGTCTACAAACGAATTTAGAATGAGAGAACGGGATTGACACAACGGAAGTTCATACAAAATAGCCTATGACGTTTTATTATGTATTTTTAGAAATAGCCAAGTTTCGATAAAAGCAGAGCCATGAATGCCCTGTTCGTCATGTCAAAAGGGCCATTTCATCCACCATCCCGACCGTGGTCACATTTACAATCCTTTGGTTCTAGGTCAAAGATTTTTTTTTTTTGGATAAGTCAGATTATATATCCAAAGAACACAGTCAAATACAAAAGTACAATCATGGGTCCAAAACAAAACCTATACTTACAAAAGAATCAATGATCTTCTATACCCCAAAGATTGCTTAAAGTAATATTAGCACTATCAATTCTATTGACATTTCCCCCCTTAAGTTGCAGACAAACAGTTTCTTTAATGGCTCTTATAATTGCTTCAGTAGACTTTGCTTGGCTTTGGAATACCCTCTTGTTTCTTTCTTCCCAAATCATGTAAATGACGGCATTGAGAGCTAACTTCATGATCACCGTGAGTAAAGATTTGCCTTTCCACATTGAGCAGGCCCGTGCCATGAAGACCTCCCATGAACAGATCGGGAATTGTAAACCAGGCAGTGAAAACACTGCTCTCCAAATGACAACAACAATAGGGCAATCGAAAAAAAGATGGTCCCCAGTTTCCAACTCAGAATTGCAGAGAACACAATGGCTTTCGTTGATGAGTCCTATACGCAGCAACCGGTATTTCGTCAGGAGCTTATCAAGGAAAGCCATCCAAGTAATCAGGCTATGTTTGGGGATATGCAGGGGAAACCATAGCAGTTTCTGCCAGGGGACTTTAGCCTTCTTCTCTCGAAGTGAATCCCATATTATACTGACTTTACTAGCAGCTGGAATAAGAACTTGATGAGCCTCGGATCTGAGTTTAAGGAGTTTCTTGAGACTCCAACTAGCAGAGGATTTAATGCCCACTGACCAGAAATCATTCTGCTTAAAAACATAGTGATTAAGCCAAGCAACCCAGAGGGAACCCTCCCCAGCAAGAATGTATTTAATAAGCGAGATCATGCAAGCCTTATTCCATGATTTTATATCCTTGACCCCGAGGCCTTCTTCTGATTTCAAGAGATAGAAAATTTTCCAGCTTACTCTGGCTCCGGAAGCAGCTTTGTCAGACCCTTTCCAGAAAAAAACGAGAGCAGAGTTGCTCTATTTTCTTTAAGACGGAACTTGACAGGAAAAGTTGTCTACACCAGAAATTAGAGATACTGCACAGCACAGTCTTGATTAGCTCCAATCTTCCTGCATATCTAAGGATTTTCGTGGACCAATGGTGCAGTCTAGATTTTATGCTATCAATAAGGACCACACAATCCTTTTCAGAGATTTTCCTAGTGAGCAGAGGAATACCTAAGTATCTCATAGGCAGAGAACCAAGGTTGAAGCCAGTAGTATGTTTAATGTTCTCAATAACTCCAGTAGACATACCAGCAGCAAAAAAAACTCACTTTTAGAAGCATTAAGTTTGAGGCCTGAAATTTCATATAAGTAATCTAAAACAGCAGTGACTCCAATAACAGATTCCTCATTCCCTTTGCAAAAGATGAGAAGATCGTCAGCAATGGATAGATGTGTCAGACATATCCTTTTGCATTTCGGGTGGTAACCAAACACTCCTCTTAAAGCAGCCGTGTTGAGGAGGCGAGAAAGAACATTCATGGAGAGAACAAAAAGTTAATGAGAGAGGGGATCTCCTTGCCTTAAGCCTTTAGCTCCCTTGAAGTAACCAGACAGACTGCCGTTGAAAGAAATTGAAAAGCTTGCTGTTGAGAAGCAAGTGATAATCCAGTTGACAAAAATCTGAGGAAGCTCAATTGCCTTCAAAATAAGAGAAATAAAGTTCCAATTGAGAGAGTCAAAGGCTTTGTGGAGATCAACTTTCAAAGAACATCTGGGAGATAAGTTCTTTCTGTTGTAGCCTCTAACTAATTCTTGAGCAAGAAGGGTGTTTTCAATGATGCTTCAACCTTTAATAAAAGCGGTTTGGTTGAGTGTAACCAAGTTAGGCTTGAGAGTAGTTAGACGTCTGACAATGATCTTAGAGATAGCTTTGTAAACCACAGTGCAACATGAAATTGGCCTAAAGTCCTTTACCTTAATTGGGTTGGTGATTTTAGGAACCAATGCAATTATAGTAGCATTGAAAGCAGGAAAAAGATAGGAGTAGCATTGAAAGCAGGAAAAAGATAGGAATCAGTGAAGAAATAAGAGATGGCTGCTACAACATCTCTTTCAATTATAGGCCAAATGGATTTAAAAAATGAGGAGAATACCCATCGGGCCCAGGAGCTTTTTCATTTCCTTGGTTGAAAAAAGCGTCTTTGATTTCCTCTTTTGTAATATCCTTCACAAGAGCTTCAGCCTTGTCGGCAGGCACGGAATATTGGATTAAGTCCTTCAGGTGGTTAGGGGAAATTTCTTTGACTGCAGGATCAACAGTACCTATCAGATTGGAATAGAATTTGACCAGCTCTGCTGACATTTGGTCATAAGTTTCAAGCCGGTTACGATTCTCATCAATGAGAGTGCGAATAGTGTCTCTCTTTTTTAAAAGCCACTGCAAAATTAAATAATCTGGTGCATTTGTCGCCCTCCTTCAACCATTGAATTTTTGCTTTTTGTCTGAAGAACAAAGCTTCAGCTTCCTCCAAGTTTTTCAAATCGTTTTGAAGGGAAAGCTCCTTTTCGACATCTTCCTCACCCTTTAATGTTTTGAGTTGTTGCTGTTCAAGCTCTGTAGAATGTTGTGTTGTGTACGATCCTTGTCACATTTATTCAATGAATAAAAATAAAAATCCATTCATAGTCCCACCATTGAGAGAACCTTTTGAGTCTCCAGAGAATTTTTTTGTGAAGCCCCACAACGTTGTTTAATGAAAAAGCTCGATCGGCACTTATTCTCGTTTATCCTACTAAAACGTTTCTCTCTATTGTATGCTTGCCCACGAGAATCTACTCTGTCTTATATTCTATTTTATTGCATTGTCGATGATTTTCAATGGCTCCACTGAGCTCAGCAACTCCCATGGCTTGTCTGAATCCACATGAAACAGGCAACAAGTAATATTTTATGGAAGATTGACTCGTTGCGAAACTTAATTAATAATGCAAGGCGTATCCCCACACGAGAGGAGCTCATGGCATAGCTTTCTATTGTTTAGACATCTATGGAAGTATTGAGATTCAATCATTTCTGAGGCCGAAAACCCATCAAAGTCGGCTAATTTTTTTAGCATAAATTTTCAAGTGGTCTTAATTGAACACATTGAATGGTCTTAATAGTAAAAATGAGTATCGTTCTCCTTAAAGAATCTATGTTCGAGCAGTTGCTTGTAGGATGTGTGCAGTATCAATAGCATAAAAAAATTATGAACAGATACTACATGATAATGACTCTAAACTATTAAAAAACCCTAAGTGGTCCTAATAATCACTTTGGAGAGTGAAAACATGTTATATTATCTCAAGTTTAATTCTACAATAGCATTTTGATTCCAGATTAGGGAGAAAAGCTTGTAATTGTTTGTAGTAGTGGAAGGTGGTGAACCAATGATTCTTGATGGTCCCCGTCTCTAACTCATTATAGCTATTTCTAGC